CCATCAAGACAATGCTTGCCATGAGAGTGTCCTTGCAAGTGCTGCAATCAGTCCGACTCCCTTACAAGGGAAAAAGCATTTGTTGACTTCCCATTTACAGTATACCCCAAGTGTCCATCTAAAAACCATCTTCCTGGGGCGTAGTCACACACTATGGAATGTCCATGATTATGGATTCTTTAATTATAGGGTGGGTTGGACTGTTGGTCTTCCCATGTGCACTCTGCACAGATGGCGATGTTCAGTACACCTCTTAAAGGTCATTATGGCACTTAGTGAAGAATTGCTCCATTAGAGAGAGAGGAGAGTGTCCCTTTTGGTCTCTTCTTTTTCTAGAGCCTTTTGCCTGTGTCCCTTTCAGGCTTTCTTCTCTTAGGATTTTTTTTTAATGCAGATCATGGTTTTACTAAACATGCGTGCAGCAAATCAGTCAAAGAAAATTTGCACACAGCTGTGGAGACATTCAAAGCTCTCTTCATGCAAATCAACTAATTGCAGACCTCCAGGAACCCAATTTGCATAATGCATTATGCATTTTGGCTTTGGGGGACAGAAGGCAAAGATTTCATGTTGTCTTGTGGGATGCAAGGGTCACAAACGGAGATGTGTTCTCTTGATTTCAATAAGAGAAAGTCAAGAGTAGCTCGTGCAGAGCTGCACCTGCTTTTTGCTTTCGCGTAAACAAGGAGAGGTTCTGGCTACTGTATTAAATCATCTAGGGAGAAGGGTTACACATATTATGTGTTTAGCACGTCATAGGCTGTCTTGCACTGTACTCCCTCTAGCATCTGGTCCTAGTTCAGCACTCTGTGCACCTGCTGTAGGTATTCCGTAATCCTGTACAAGCATCGCCCCAGAAACAGCAATGTACCTTGGCATTTCTGAATTCATTGGGTGTCTTTTGCCCAATGAGTCCCGTAGTGTGGGATCACAGTGCTCTCCTAGGCTTAACTGATCAACTAGGGGCAATTCACTCCTAATTTAGTCCTTTGAATCTTACTTACTCATTTGCACCTTGTTATTTTCTCCCGAAAACATGATTGAATAAGATGTCTTAGTGTTCCTTGACGCAGCTAATCCCTAGCTGGTAAACTGCAAATGCTCTGTAAACTAACCGTGGCATTGTGTGGAAGCTGGAACGTGCAGTGTGCTGTTCTGTGTGTTCCTTGGATGTTCTAATTTAGAATTCTGCAGCTTCTTTACCAATCCCTGTTTAAACCAGGACTTGCTGATGCTGAATCATGAAAGTGGGGAGTTGTGGGGCTTGGCCCTGATTGCAGGGTGCCTGTAAAGCAAACAGTATACATTTATTGCAACTGGCAACGATTGCAGGGCACTGGTCCAAACCAAAAATTAAAAACAAAGGCCATGTAATAGCTTTTATTAAGACAAACCAAAATAGCACAAAGCCAGTGTGCAGGCTTTTGAGTTATTCTGAATGATTTGCCAAACTGGACTTTTTTTAACCACTGGTTTTAATATTTGTAATCAGAGGCTACCCAGACTAACAATGGTGCAACCCACATCATGGTATTAAGTCTGCCGAGCTGTGTGCATGTGATACAGACAAGATCATAATCAGAAACATTTTTTCTCCTCCACTTGACCCTTTTAAACATCCAGCCTGAAAAAGAGATCTCCAAACTTCCATATCCTTGTGGTCCTAATAAAAGATATGACATAGCCTTGTTTCAGATCTCTTGCCAGTGTTTTTATTCTCTCTCCATGCCAGCTGGCTGGCTGAACAATACAACCATCCCCCAGGTTTTCATGCTTCCAAAATTCAGACTTCCAAAAACTCTTAAATGCCCTCTGGCTTTCTTTCTTTGTAAATTTAACACTGTTCACCTGTAAGTGTATCAAGCAAATGCTCTGTTTTTACGTTGGCTGTGCAAGCCCCTCCATGAAATAGCTTGAGATTTTCCCCTGCTTGAAGTTTGTTTTCTGAAACAGAGTTCTTCTGCAGAATAGAAATGGGGGGGGGGGGGTTTACATTGGGGGGGAAATGATTGCTTCGCAGGTGGACATGCCTCTTTCTTTTACTGAAGATTTTTGCCTCCTGACCATCAGTGATGCTGAATGCACAAACTGATCTGGGGCCATGTGGCAAAAACATGTTGATGACCCGGTTGAAGCTGAGGTCAGGATGCTGAGCCCGTTCAGCCAGCAGCTGGAATTCTGCCCTGCCATACTCAAGTATGATGTATCCAGAAACATTTGAATGAAATGTAATTGGGCTATGTAAAGGTGCTTTAATTTGTATAATTGAACTCAACACCAGCTGTGAGTTTTCTTTTTTTGTGACACATTTTCACTAGCCAACTACTACAGGGGTGCTAAAATCTGGTTTATATGGAACATCCTGGGTGGGGAAAATTGGGAGTGTCAAGCTACATTCTTGACACTTGAAATAATGTTACATTCTTTATTTGTTTGGGGAGACCTGACCAAGCCCAAAGCAGGTCCATAATCTTTCAGACTTTTATGTGTTTAACTAAAAGATCCATCTGCCTACCAACTTGAGTAAAGTTATTGAAAAATATATAGTATTGCATGTGTTTTAAAATGCCCCTAATAGAAACCCTTTTGGTTGCAAGCTTACCCTGTTCAACAAGTTGTTTCCTGTTCTTAACAAATTGTGTTCTTTTTGCTTTCTTTCTGCTTCCTTCCTCCCTGTTTTCCTGCTTTCCCGACCCCTGCCAGAAAAACTGATTGAGGGTCTCAAATCTCCTGAACCTGCACTTCTGCTCCCTGATATCCTGCCTCTTGCAGATCCCTTCGGTAGCACCTCTGATGCTGTGAATGGTAAAATCCTGAAAACCTTTCTGGTGTCTCCTGTCCTGCATGTTGACTCCTCAGTGGGGCATGTTTGAACTGTAAGCGACATGTGAGCAAAGGGAAGCCAATGATAGGCCACGAAATGTGACTCCTTTTTGTCAAAGAGGCATGTGAGTGTGGCTGACCACGGGGTTGGAATTGGCTGCAATCCAGGCCAAGAGTTTGGCATCAAACCTGCCCAGGAAAGGTGCTGCCCCCTCCTTCCCCCAGCTAACTCACATCAAAATTTAGTTCCCCCGAACTGGTCTCCCCTGCAGTAATCTCACACTTTCCCCTTGTTTTTCTGCTTAGCCCAATGTGTGCACGTGGCCAATGGGGATGGTAGTCCTAAACTGTTGGAACAGGCCGGTGTATCATTTTTTACGTTTCCACACGCTAACATGAGAAGCATATTGAGTTGTTCTAGGGTACCTGTCTCACTTTTGCACTACTTTCTGACTTCTGGGAAATATTCCTCCTTTGGAATGTGCTCAAAAGTATTTTCTCCCCCCAGAATGTATCTTCTGAAACTGTCCATTCCGTTTCACAGCCTCATTTCTGCCTCTTCCTGTAGAAATGTTTTGTGTCCCCCTCCTGCTTGAGGGGCTTAGAAAGGTGAGGCAGTTTGACCCTTCAGTTCCTCACGTGTACTGCAGTCTTTCCCCTTTCCAGGTAGGCCTAGGTGTGGGAAACAAAGGCCTCGTTATCTTTTTCCATTGGTAAATGGGTGCTCCATGTCATCTGGATCATGTGCCTTCTAGTCTAAAGATGTGCTCCATATCTCTGGGCATCATAGGTGCTCCGTGGGTTTCATGGTGGCAGGGTGCTTGCTGGAGTCCCTTATTAGTAGGATTGCCAGCTCAAGGTTGAGAAATTCCTGCAGATTTGAGGGGATGGACCTTGGGGAAGGTGGGTTTGGGGAGGGGAAGGACCTCAGCAGGATTCAATGCCATAGATCCCACCCTCCAAAGCAGCCATTTTCTCCAGGGGAACTGATCCCTGTTATCTAGAGACCACTTATAATTCTGGGAGGACTTTGGGCCCCACCTGGAAGTTGGCAGCCCTGTTGTGAGGCACTTCCAATCCCTTTAAGCGTGCACACCTCTCAAACCAGATGAGAATGGAAGTTGTCCATTCAGTTGCATACAGTAACTGACAAGTGATTTTCCCCCAAACCCCAAGATACTGCTATTCTAGGAATAGATCTTGAAAGACATGGTGGAACTCCACCGGTGTCAACAGCATACTTTCTAAGTTTCGGCTTTGGTTGTTGCAGCCTAGTCTTTTAAAAAGCTAAACAGCATGGTTCCAAGGTAATTCCTAGATAACTACTTATTAGTTAGGGGGCAAAGTAATTTAGTCAGTCACCACGGCGTGCTAAAAACAGAACAGAACTGAATCATTAGGGTCTGATTTGCGTATTCATTTTCTAGGCATGCCTGTTTATGTTAGCATATTGTGGGATGTGAATTTGACATGCTCAGGAGCCATTATCTCACAATGGCAATGGTATGTGTATGGAAGCTGGCTGTGCATCAGGGCCCAGCTAAATCACCTCCTCCCATGTAACCTTTGCCCTCCCTCATGGCTGAGAGAGAAGGAACCTATGTATTTGTCCATGTAACTCAGGTTTTCGTACACATCACCGCAGGGAAGAGACTTACATTGCCACTAGAAGTACCTCTGAATACTAGTTGTGGGAGGCAGGCAACAGAGACTTTAGTTTCTCTGCCCTACTTGTGGGCCTCTGGGACAGCTGGTTGGCCATTGTGGGAGACAGGATGCTGAACTAGATGGACCATTAGTCTGATCCAGCAGGGCTGCTCTTACATTCTTATGGACTGGAGCCTCACTGAAATATAGGACTCTAAAACAGGCTCAGAATGAAGCTCCAGATCTCCTGTTACATCTTACTGTGCACACAGGAGTAAACTCATCTGAAGGGTAATTTTGAGATAAGTCCTGCAAGTAACCAGACTTCACTGTAACACAGATATAAAATTTCTCTGCCTGACCAGATCTCATTTATTCAGCCTTCTGCCTTTTCTTTGTGTTCTTCTGCCTCTGCTGAACTTGACCTAACTTGTGGCTTCTGTTCTGCTCTTTTGTGCCTTCGGAAAGGACAAGCTGACCTAACTGTTGACAGTCTCATACCAGGCCTCGAGGCACCCATTCCCCAATGTGTATCATCGCAGACTGATACTATGGCTGCAAACAGAACAGGTTGGTGGGATGCAGTAAGCTAAAACAGGCAATGAGAGCAGTCTGGCCTGTGAAGAAATGGGTAGCATTGTTTGCCTTCCCAGCTTTGGGTCTTCCTGCATGTTCAGCTGACTTGTCTTATAATTTAATTAATTAAAAATTCCAAATCTGTATATTGCTGCTACGATACATACGTATAACTAGGGATGGGCACGAACCTAAAAAAACCTGTTCGGGATAGCCCCCAAACCAAACCCCGAACTGAGCCAAAAGGTCCCCACCCAAACTGAGCCAGTCCAGCAAGTTCGGTTTCCCCTTTCTTCTGGCTGCAGTGAGCCACGGCTGGGAGAAAGGGGGGGATCACCTAGGGAGGGTGTGCCTATCAGCTGTTAGGTTTAAAGGGCCAGCAGCCATTTAAGCCTAACAGGTCAGCTGCATACCCACGCCACTCAGTTGTTAGGTTTAAATGGCCCCGAACAAAAATCCAGTAAATGTTCAGGGAAGGCACCTTCCGCGATCATTGGTTGGGGGCTCCAAACTGGCCTAAGCTTGTGCCATATTTTGGTTCATGAACTGGTTCTTGCCCATCCCTAAAAGTGATGCCCATGGAATGACTAAACAAAGGCTATACACAAAATACTACGTCCCACATTTTAGCAGACGAGAATCAGTGCCTTCTACAATACGCAAATAGAATTATAATCAATTTCTGACCCTTGAGATCCAGTGCTGAGGCCCTTTAAATTTCCCCCCCAAACAAGAATTCTTACTCAAGTTTGTGAATAAAGTTCCTTTTGGAAATATAAGTATCAAAGGGGAATATTTTTGAAGTATAGATGTTTCAGCACTCTGTTTTCTGTTAAGGTTTTTGGTGCTGAAAACTGGTGACTGGCCAGCAGTCTGGTTTGAAGTTCTTAAGGAAGAATGTTTAGCGTAGCTTAAAATATAAATGCTGTTGATTCTCTTTCCCCCACCCCCAGAACAGATGAGCAAGTAACTTATTTGAAGTTCTCCTGCATATGCTAAATTATTTCAGAAATGACTAATTTTGCCCCTCACTTCAGTCCAGTTTCTTTTAACTTGTCGCTAACCAAGGTCTCAGGGTTGGGTGGGGAATCTAGTGAGTGCCCAGCTGTGGTTGCTAACCTACTCTTCTGTGTACTGTTCTCTGCTGCCGTTGCTGTCGCTTGCTAACTGGAATCAGATTCTGTCACTGGGGAAGACTCCCTGCTTGACTGCTCTCTGCTTTCTAACCCTGCTGCTGCTGACCTTCTGGATGAGTTTGCTCCTTTAGCCATTTCATCCCAAACTCACAAAGGTAAAGTACCGTTTGGCATTCTTACTGATGGAGGTTTAACAGTGGAATCCTATCTCAAGTTGCCCCAGTGTAAGCTCATTGATGGCAGTGGGATTAGACTGGAGTAAATCTGCATAGGTTTGTGCTGTAAGGTTGGTGGGATGGAAGAGAGTATATATTGAAAAATGAAATGAAAATGTATGAAATTAAATTGGCAATTCCAGCGTATACTAGCTCAGATCTGAAGTATCCTCTTTGGCTCTGCGTCTTCTGAACATGTATCCCATCTGAAGAAGCCATATTTTAATTGAATCAAACCAATAGCTGGATGTTCCTAGGGCTTTTTTCAAGCAATGGGTCTTGTGACTTAGGAGGGCATGACTCAAGCATGAATCTTTCTGTGCAGTATTTAACAGTAGATACTAGGAATGAAGTCTAGGAGACCCAAACACTGCTTTTGGCCTGTCTGTCTTCTCCCCTCTTTCAAGGCCCATCTTGAAATTTACTTCTTCCATGAAACTCTTTTTCACCTCATCCCCAACAAAAGTGAAGCCTAAATATGGGTAGATATATTTGTCAGCATTCCTCCTTTGTTAGCCTTTGCCCTTTCCCCCATCTTGTGCCTCTGTGTTCTCCTCCATCCCAGTTGTCTACACATAGCTCCTCTGGACAGGGGTCCACATCTTTTGCTTTAGTAGACTGTGCTAAGTTCTCCTGGTCTTCCTTCTCTGCATACATGCAATGGGTTGGATCCTGCCAGGGCTTCCACTGGTGAATGAAGGAGGGGTGTCTCATGACCACTGTAATGGAATACCCAGCAACTGAGGTTCGTGATACCTTTATAGACAAAATCCATGTGGTTTGTGGGCTGCAGAGAGGAGAGGAATTGCAAGGACACTGAGTAGGAAAAATAGTTGAGATCAGGGCTGTTGCTAGTGTGTGGTCCATGGGGCAACGCCCCCTCCAAAATTGGCAATGCCCCCCGTTACGGCTCAAGAACAGTGGTAGCTCCCCAGACGAAGAATGTATGTTGGAGATCTGTGGGCAGGGAAACTTCAGCACTGAGAAGGGAGGAAGCCCCATGTATGCCAGGCCATGTCTGTCTTGGCCTTAGCGACCCCCCCCCCCCCCCCCCTCACTTTTTCTTGTGGGACTGTGCTGGCCTGTGGCAGGGGCAAGGCTGGTGGCTTCTGGTGGCCTTTCCCTGTATGGGACTGTTTGGAAGATAAGACTCCTTTTGCCTGAGATCTTACTTCTCGGCAGCCTCCCTCCCTGACCTGTTCTCCAGTTGGACGTGGAAGATCGTTGGTCAAAGCACCTTCTTTCTCCTCCCATCCCTGCTAAGACAAAGCTAAAATCCTGGGGACGCCCCACTCACCCCCACCCCTCCAGCATGAATCACCTCTTGTCTGGCGGTGGGTAGTACGAGGGGTACATGTCATCCAGCATGGAGGAAGAGTTGGCAGTCCCAGCACATGCAAAGGGTCTGGCAGGTAGCCCAACCAAAAGAGGGCTTTGTGTGTGTGTGTGTGCGTGCACTGTGCCCCTGAAAATAGCAAGGTGTTCTTTAATTTAATTTAATTAATTTAGTCACCATGCCCCCTCTGTGCCCTCCCCACAAAATGTCTAGCTACAGGGCTAGTTGGGATCCAACCCAATGTGTGCACTTTACCACTGAACTACTATCAGATATTCCTCTTATATTGGAAACATCTGCATGAAGTTACAATGTCCATCTCTTACACTGGGCAAAACAAAGCAGCAGCACACAGGAGGCTGTTATGATGAAGGGTTCCTTGTATCCGCATCTGGCTGGGTAGTGACAGGATGGTATGAATGGAGCTGCCGTGTTGTTAGTAGTAGTGAGAAGCAAAGAGTTAGCGCTGTTGATCTACTTTTATGAGCATGTTTGGTAAGAAGTCCCATTGCATTCAGTGCAATTTTCTTACATTGTTCGGGGCTACTGTCCCACAGGACAGGATCCCGTAGGAATCCAGGGACCAAGCACAAATAAGGCAGCAAGATGCGTCAGGTTCATGCAGATGTTTTGTCTCCTTGTTTAGTGGTGAAGTGATTAATTTTATGCAGTGATTCAAAGAACAGTTCCAAGAGAGTTCCAGCTTATTTTTATCATGGTGACCACTCTTTGGAGGAAATGGGAGTGAAATTGTGTGCAGTCTGTTTTCTTTAAACAGCCAGCTGCAGTTTGAAAGGAGATTTGATTTCTTACAGGGCTTCGGGAATTTGGAAAAGAACTTTTGGTTAATTTGCTGCTGTTGTTGAGTTTGAATTTTCGGCCTCTGAACAGTCCACTTTGCTCATTGTTCTGAAGCCTTGTGTGTACTGGCTTGTTTCTTAGTGGGAGAAGGAGGGGCAACTTTCTCCCGCCATTCCTGTCTTGTCCCAGTTACCTGCATTTCTCTGTGTTCGTGCACAAAGCTTTGGCAGCTCAGCAGGTGTGTACCCCATGCACCTAGAGAGCCACCTGTTCTGCTTCTAGCATTCCCTCTGATGAAACATCACCTGGGACGCCCAGTGCCTACCTACAGTCCCAGAATTCTGTGGCTGCTGTTCCACAGCTTCTTTGACTAAAGCCACTAAGAAAAAAAATTAAGGAGGCTCTCATCCAAATCTGCATCAGAATTATAATTGGTATGGCTTGGCTCTGGGTCTGGTGGTTATATAACTTATCTCCCCCTACCGCGAGAGTGTCAGGGAAGCCACAACAAGCACGTCGCTCTTAACACTCTAACGGCAGTGCTATTTGGGAGAACCAGTGCCTCTACAGAGGAATGTGTTTGTGGTGCTGTTCCGATTTGTGCAGTTGTGTTACTTTAAAGAAAGGGGCCCAAAAGCAGCTGTTCTCACAAATTGTGCCTCTGTGTGAATGTTTCAGGGCCTGCCAAATGCTAGGAATGAAGGACAGTTGTGTTATCTGAAATGGGATATGTCTTTTTTCCTTCTCTCTTTACTAGCCTTGATTTGTAGCTTTACAAACTTGAGTCCTTGACAGAGTTACTAATTCCTGGCTCTTTTCTCCCTCACAGTCACTGTTGTGCATGTGTTCCCTTATTATCTTTCTCCTGGTTTTTGCATATCCGTTCGCTTTCTTGTCCAAAACCCAGCAGACCCTCTCCCATACATTAACTGTTTTACCCTCTAGTTTCTAACCCTTCTCCAACAAAACACATGCAGTTGTTTTGGTGATAACCTAACTGGCTTTCTCTGCTCTATCTCTTTTGCTCCCCTTTTTACTACCATCCCTCCCCATCATGCTGCAGAAGATACTAACCTGATCTCGGGCTTTGATCTCCCAGAGGGCTCTGAAAAACTGACAGAAGATGAGTTTGACCCCATCCCTGTATTGATATCCAAAAATTCACAAGGTAAGCAGGAAAGAGTGGGGCAAATTGAGATCTCAAGGCAGCGTCTTTGTTGGTAGTATGTCTGGCTAATAACCGCAGTGTAAGGTTAATGGCTGGGAGGTTCATGCCACTCTTGGGCTCAATTTTCTTCTGCTTCAGTGGTATAACAGCAGTAAATGGCTCTTGGCTCTTTCTGCTTTTCTGGATGAGGAAATCACAGGCCCACTAAGAGGGCCAGCAGCCCTCAGTCTTCAGTCACTGAGACTTTAGATGGAATGTGAGAGGCTGCCACCATCACCACCTCTTGTCTGGATCCCATAAAAATTGCCTCAGAGCATCTTATGTGGGGCCTTTCGACTCTGATCCGAAGCCGCAGCAGAACTGAGATGTGGAGTTCAAGTTCTGCCACACGAGATATATGAACAGATTGAAACTCAGTTAGGCTCCTGACTACGGGGAATTTGAGGCTGTTTACCATTTATTGAAAGCTCCATCAATTTCAAAACAGTTGGCTCTGTAGTCTGTTGTTTGAGAGAAACTAGCGGACCCTCCTCCCCCATGCTCGGGCACATGGAATTCCACAATTCTTTGGATCCTCACCACAATTAGCTGGGAGCACCTGCAGAATAAAGTCTTTTCTTTGATTTTTTTTGCAATGGCAGGTGTCTGAAGGCATAGAACAACAAGGTGTTATATAGCAAAAGATGCCGGAGTTCAGGATTCTTCCCCATTTTGGTTCTGGGTTGTGTTCTTTGGAAGGGCTGGCAGTTCCAAGATGTGCCATAGCATCAACTATGGAAAAACCATGGGGGAAAATGTTAACATTGCTTGTAATCATGGGGAGAACATGGGATGTTGGGGTGCTTTGAATAGTCCACCTTAACCAAATCCCTTCCACAGAGAATGTACAAATGAGAAATGAGCTGTAGAGAATGGGGGGGGGGGAAGGTTTTAAATAAATACCCCAATGAGAACATACGATAGCCCTCCAAACAATTATTGGGTGGCTGTGTGTCTAGTCTGGAAATTGTTATTTTCCCACCTCTACCCATGTACATGCACATCATACGCCTGTGGCCAGACACGGAAGCAGCCCTCTCTCCACCTGACTCTATCCACTCCTATTCCTCAGTCTGTTGATAGTAGTATCTTTAGAATGGGAAGAGTAGTTTGCTAATCCCTTCTTCTGCCAGTGAAAGAGCAGTCAATGCATTTTCTGAGCTTAAAAGAGCCCGGCCCAAGAAAAATGATGTAGTTGGGTTCTTTGTTGTAATGTGGTCATTAATATGGCCCTGTTAATATCCCCTCTACTGGAGGATAAATTAAGCTGATTGTGGGAGAGGGGGCACTGGAGACCTGAACACCATCCACTTGTTTCTGCTATGGAATCATACAATTATAGAATGTTAGCGTTGGAAGGGACCTTGCAGGGTCATCTAGTCCAACCCCCTGCACTATGCAGGAGCGTAGCCGAAAGATGTTGCATCTGAAGAAAAGTTTTGTAAAAGTGAGCAGAGAAACTGGAATTCCTTCTAAAACCGGGTATTAGAACTCTGCCTCTAACGTCTGATGGATTAAATTGGGGTGTTTCTGCATCTACCACAGTAATAGCAGCCTACTTAGATTCTGAGTTGCTTTCTCTAGTTCTTAGCTTGTTCTTTCTTTTTTGCTTGCTTGTGAATTTCATTTTTTAAAAACTAACTTTTTATTTGTCTCTTGCTCAATACTGAATTGCTATCTCTCACACTTTCAGGTGGGCATTCTAGAAACAACAGTGGAAGCTCTGAATCCAGTCTTCCCAACCTAGCCAGGTCTCTACTGCTAGTGGATCAGCTCATAGACCTGTAGCAGTCAATCAGTAACAGATGCGGTTTCTGTAACGTACCTAAATCCAACTCTTTTTCTTTTCCCTTCGCGCCCCCAAAGGAGCTATCTTTAGTTGTTGGGTGGCTTTGGTTTTGGTTTTTATTTAAAATAACCCTACATATGGAAGGAGCCCTCTGTTGGGACTTCTGTGTACTCCTTTACAGCACGTCCTTGATACAGCTTGCCGCAGTTCCTTGTGCACCCCAGTCTCCTAGCCTCTTTTTCCAAAAGAGCACTACTGCTCATTAACTACCTTGCTGCAACTTACCCCGTAGCTCCACCCAAAAAGCCCTTCCTGAAAATGAATTACATGTAACCTTGCTAGAAATGCCTATGACTTGTACTCCCACCCCGCCCTCTGCCGTAGTCTAGTGAAACAAAACTGTACATCAACCACTTTCTTTCATTAGAAAAAAAAGTCAAAAGGACAATGAAAATAGTTTTGCCTTGTCCCTCTCTGATGCAACGGCATCTATTGGGAAGGGTTTTGGCCCAACTTTGGGCACTGCCAAAATTGGGCCCATGTGACCTACCAAGTACAGACAAAAAGACTGTGCACTTTGAAAGAGAACGTTTGCTTCCTGACTTTTAGTGTTCCGCAACCTGCTTAGGAATGGACTGTGCTTTTAAAAATAAATATTAATACTATGGAAGTCATCCCATGCAAATGAAGTTACAAGTGTAAAACATCATAACACGTATAAAAAGCACGGCTGAGGCTTTTTTCTGTTGAATTTAATGTTCAGTTGAAGAGGGCATCGTGGCAACAGATAGATACTCTTGCAGGTTATGTCCTGTAGAGGAACGCTAAACTTTTACATATATCAGATTTCCCTGAAACTTCTCTCCCCCCCTTCAGATTCTTACAATATAGCCAAAATTGTCAAAGGTTGTTTTTTCTCAATCCCTTTGGGTTTTTGCTGTCTCCCTTTGTAACTGCATATAGTGTTAACATGGAGCCAAATTTTCCTTTCCCAGTAGACAAAATTACTGTAACCTTTATTCAGATCCTTCAGTCTTTGTAGCGCTAGCATGCACTCCTTGTCAGCCAGTTGAGAGTAAGTGCTTTCCAGCTTAGGTGTTACCTGAATGGGTTTTACCTTTTCTTTCCACCTTGATATGCTTGGTTTTGTCAAACTACTGGATATAGTAAACTTGTTCTCATTGACTTCTGATCTTCAAGTCCACAGTTAACTGTCACTCAAGATGTTCTTCTGAAGAGAAGGACCACCCTTGCTCCGTAGTGGAATAATAGCTTAATGCTAACTTTGTGTATGTGTATGTAGCTGTATTAGTAAAAAAAAAAGTGCAGTTTTTCCCATGTGTGAAGGTATGAATGATTAAACTTATAGGTGTATCAGGCTCTCCTTGAAAGAGGAAAGACGTTTTGATGTCCCCAAGTATTTTTCTCTGTTCTTTCTCCTCCCTCCCCTCACATATCTCATCCAAACCTCTCCCCTACCAGAAATTAGCTTAACAAATTCTGTAAATAGAAATTTAACTGTCCTGTCAGTTCTGTATGAATCTTTCTAAAAATCTGCATACACACTTCATGATAAAGTATTGATTATGTGTGTTGTGTCCATTTGCGTGTTTCTACTGCACTTTCCAAATGATCTACATGACAGAACTGTGGGAAATGATCTTAGTTAAAATTGTTGATAGATCTTTATATTTTTCGGGGGTTGTTTTGCTTTTTTGATTACTAAAGCACAGGCAACTGAGGCTGGATAATGTGGGGAGGGGGGAGCTTTAGATAGAAAGTTATTGTATAGTCAGATACTGAAAATATATGGAAAAAAGAATGGATTTTTTAACAAAGAAATCACCTACTGTATATTAGAAACAAAAACAAAAAATCCCACCCGATTTCTGTGAATTAAAGTACTTTTACAAGAATGTGTAACATTTTAAGTCTATTTGAACTTGTTGAAGAGTTCTGGAAGCAGAATTATAAAGGGGCTTGCTTGCTCAAGGACTGTGCAATTAACTAAGCAATGGTGAATGTGGTGGTCGTGGTGGGGTTTCAACTAATGCATCTGGAGGGGCAAAGCTAAGACAGTGGAAATAATTGTACAGCAGTTTCTGAAGTTGATCCAAAGTCATTGAAATAACGTGTAGCAGATTCTTTAATAAACAGCGCAAGACTGAAATGCTGGGAATGATGGGTATTATTAGCTTGTTGCAAGTTAAGAAGTGATGGTACCTTTTTAAAAGAGGCAGTCAAATAAGCCTTGAGCAGTCCGTGCTGCTTCAGGCCTCTTCTCCATTCTCCAAAATTTTGTTGTAACCAAACGGGTGTTCTCAGGCCAGTTTTACCATAAGTGGAGTGTGAGGCAACCTATATTGGTTGGCATATTTTAGGGCACCATTACAGCCAGCAAAACTGCCCACCTCTGTGGGGGGGGGGGCACTGTTTGGATTTTCTACCTTAGATACCAAAATGTCTTCTGTCTCTGGGTGTCCTTGAAATCCTGATATCACAGTAGAAAGGGCTAAATTGTTATCTTTGTAAAAGGGAGCAAGAGGGGCTTTTTAATTCCTTCAGCAAGCTACTTTTTCCTCAGCCTATCTGTCTTTTATTGGAGGTGCTAAGCTGTGATACCATGCAGATGGTCTAGATGCTGAGTTTGCTCCTGGGATTGGCCTCCCCGGGGGGGAATTCCTGCTCCAATCTGAGCATGTCATCCTATAGAACTGAGTGAGTTTGTGCCACCACACACTGAGTACCATCAGTGGTGTCCGCTGTTGATACTGATTTGGGATGAAGCTGGGAAAACGTACAATATGATGGCCTCTGTTCACACAGTATGTTCTCTGGTAGTATACCCAAGGCTAGGGTGGGGGGGTGGGAATTCACTGTAAGGATGCTGATTTCTCATGGGAAATTTGAAGACCAGCTCTTAGAGATACTGGAGATTTTGTCTGACCAATCCCTTATTGTGTAACACAGGGATGGGCTGACTTGAATCTTGTGGTCTGTTCCCTCCCCCCTTTTTTATAACTAGAATCCCTCTCATTGGGCTGTATGCTTGTCAGCAACAAAACAAGAGTGCCTACCCAAGTAAGGGATGCCTTAATTGTAAGAACTCCTAAACTTGTGCTCTTGCTTAAGCAACGTACAGGCAATCCTGCAGTTACTCTGCAATCCCACACAGACTAACCCCGTATAGGATTGAGCTGTGAACACACCCAGCAGAATCAGGCCAATATCTTTCTATTTCTGCAAATGGAATTTCAGCAACCTGCAGGCCCTAGGTGGCCCACAGGAATTGGCCAGTGGTCCACCAGTGAGCTGGAGTCTTTTGTCCACTAATGCAAACAGAATATGGCAAGCAACCTTATGAATGGGCAGTTATCATGAAAGTTGGCAATAGGATGTGTAATAAATGTCCAGTGTAAATTCTACAGCCCAGTAACCATAACAATTCAATGTGTTACCCAATAAAAATCCAGGCAACAATTGATCTTAAACTTTCAGGACTACATTCAGGGCACAGCTAGTAACGTACAAGAGCCACTGTGATGCCTAGCTCTTCAAATACTTTATAGAATGAAGAACATTCTGTCTTATCCAAGGGTCATGATGAGAGATCCAGAAGAGGAGAGGAAGGCTTCTTGATAAACAAACCTCTTTTGGGGCTCTAAGAAGGTGGTGGTTTAGGAACAGAACCAATGGAGTTGCAATGGGGCATATGTACATTATATCCAGTTCTGGCCACAGACCTTGAATCCTTAGTAAGCCCAATTCTTCTGCTTTCCAGGAAGGCTTAGTCCTGGCCAAAATCTCTCATAACCACTGAAATCATGCTTTTCCTGCAGTCTATTACATATAAAGAACAATCTATATGCAGTCAGAGAAAAACGTAGCACAAGTTATGAGCGTCGAACAGTGTGATTCTATACAGACTTACTACAGTTGATTTCAATGGGTTTAGACTGGAGTAACTCTGCATAAAATTCTGTTAATCTTCTAATTCTTAGTGCTTGGAAGTCTAATCTTTGTTGTGAGTGTCTAAACCACTATGTGTGCCACCTTCTGGTTTTCCATATTTCAAGTAAGCCTTCTTTCCATCCATTCTTGTTGCACTGATAACACACGTACCACTGTGGGAGTCCTAGACTGTTCATCAATACCAACCTGAGTGTTCTAATTGTAGGGTATAGTGAAGCTTCCTCTGGAATTACCCATAAAGATGTGTGCCCCCCCCCCCCCCAGTCTCTTGAATTTGTTGCTGAGGTAGATTCTTTGGGGGGGAATCAATTCTTCATTGGCTTCTACCTAAGCTTGAATGCCTTCCCCCTTACAGGAGGAAGTGAACTTGAATATGTGATTTAGACCATACCTGTTAGGTTGCTACAAAGTCTCTAGAGTTTCCAGGTCTTATTATTTGACCGGAAACATTCAGAGTTTTAGCCCTTTTTGGATTATGAAGAGAAGGAGTAAAATCTCTGGATAAGGGGTTAGAATCAGAACAAGGAGTTATTTTCAGCTTCTCTGGAGAGCTTTTGGTGATGATCCACCTCCATGTCCAGCAGGCTGTACTCCTGAGGCTCCAGAACCAGCTAGACTCTTCCTTTGACCTTGCTAGATGCCATTCTCTGTCCTCACCACCCAGGGCCCTGCCCCATCTTGCCATGTTCATCCCCTTTTCTTCTTAGGCTGTGCCACAGAATCTAAGCCTGAGGAGACTGGGAAACCCTAAGAACCACTATTCCTTTCTGGGGAAGGTCACCGTTTTGAGTCCATTATTGAATATCCTAGCTCTTGATCTCTTAAAATTTCATCTCTTTATTATAGTGCTTGCCTAGACACCATCACAAGAGCTTAAATTCATGCAACTAACTAATTTTTAAAAGTTCCTATGTCTGAATTCATTGAGGGCCACTGCTCCAGTGAACCCTAAATAAGGATTTTTCTAAAACCTTTAAAACATTTTTTTCTAGTATGGTGTCATAGTGCCTGTACTATAAGGAGCTCAGTCTGACCTACTTGGTTCACTTCTCCCAATTTTTCCTTTGTAACTGTCATCTGAGGTAGGTAAAGTGGAGAGAGGGACTGGCCCAAAGCCTCCAGCAACCCATCATGGTTTTAATCAGGTCCTAGTATGATATTTTGGCCTCGCCATGATGGCACTGGCTAACCCAATCTTGTCAGATCATGGAAGTTAAGCAGGGTCAACCCTGGTTAGTATTTGGGTAGGAGACCACCAAGGGAGTCCAGGGTCACTATGCAGAGCCAGGCGATGGCAAACCACCACTGTTCTTCTCTTGCCTTGAAAACCCTACGGGGTCACCATAAGTCACCTGTGACTTGACACCACTTTCCACTACCACCACTATGAAGCTTTAACCATGACACAGCCACTACACTTTTCCTAACACCTTTGATAGTTCTGTTGATGCACTTTAGTGTCTGGGATCCATGGCTGCATTTACTTAGATTGTTGGGTTAGTTATAACCCAGACTTTTCTGGATTCCTGAAGAGCATGAAAGCATTTCCCCCCGGCATAGACTCACCCATTTCCTCTTTCCGCACCCTGGGCCAGGTCTGAGCTAAATGTCCTCTGTGTTGCCGCCAGTACCACTGAAGCTTGGCTTGGCTTGCTGTTGGCCACCACTAGCCTTCCAGTGGGTCCACTGGAAACCTTCCTGATAAGTTAAAAGAACAACCCATCCCAGTGGTAGGCAAGGAGGTAAAATGGAAACTGTAAGAGTCACAGAACTATAGATATGCATGGTTAGAAACGCTGTGATGGACTGTCAGAAAACTATTTCATTCAAGTAGGAAGCAGTGATAAAATGGGATCAAAACTGTTCTGCCCTTTCCTCTTCTCAGGCCCGTTGCTCCTTGCTTTCTCTTGCTGTGGATTCTGCCTTAGGTCCACGTCTCCAAATGCAGAGTCCCCTGCTGTGGTTCTGCTCTTACAAGGCAGCACTTCTTTTATTACGGTTCTTTTTAGGACCTGCAGTACTCTTGAAAACCAATGGGGGAAGAACTCCCCTGGTTACACTAGTGGCTGTTTGATCACATCTTGCAACTTGCTGAAAATATGTTCAACATACGTTCATATTGTTTTGTTTCTTGCAGTTAACTGGACAGTGTACTTGTTCACCTCCAGTGGTATGACTATCCCCATCCTCCATTGATATCTGTAGATGTTATGTATTTTGTGTTTCTCATCTATGCAAATAGATTGGACACAATCCACTGGGAAGTTCTCCTGTGCAAGCTGCATGGGGATCGAATCCTTGCATAGCTCCTGTCAGTTCCCATGAGGGAGGAATCCCCAGCGGATTGCCTTTGGTAACTTCAAAACTGCAGTAATGACTTGGAGTTAAACTATCACTTTTGCCTACAATCTCTGTGGCTGCGTCTTCTAGATGTGAGTCTGGGTATCATACGCTGCGGTATTGTATAGATCCTGCTGTTGTAAGTTTGTATATTTTTTCCTGCTTTTATCTTGTGTTTTAAAGGAAGGTAAAGCAAACTGCGTATACATTGGAGACC